AGATTGGGAAGCAGCTACCAGTGGAGAAGAGATGAGTAAAATGGAATCTCTTCTTCTTGATAAAAATAAGAAAATGGAACATGAACTCACACAGATGAAGGTATGAACTGTTTTTGGATGCTTTGCTTCCTAGTTTTTTTTTCCAGTTCTCTCCGAAAATGGTGCATATGAATAGTATTTAGATCTCGTATATGAAACTATACAAAAGTCAATTTCTTGTGGATGACTATGGTTATCATACATGCCAAAAAATTTGGAGTTTAGTTAGATTTTAATTCTTTTGATTTGGTTTAATTATCATGTACTAGCAGTGTCAATGTATCTTTTACCGGTTTTCAGGTCAAACTTTCTGAGAAAACATCTTTGCTGGAAACAGCTGAAGGCAAAATAGTAGAACTTGTGGAAAAGGTTAATGAACAACAAAAGCTGATACAGAAGTTAGAAGATGATATATTGAAGGTTTGGACTAGTTTCTTCCAATGTTCTGAAAATGGCACATTTGACCAGCTTCATTATTTTCTTACAGCATTTGCATTTAGATGCCTTACTGGCTGCTGTATATATGTGAATTCTCTTACACTGAAATATTGAAACTGTCAGTTTCTCTATGTTGCTCCTTCCATTTAATGATGTTCGACTCGACTTAACAATTCCTAGGTGATGCAGGACTGCAGACTTTCATTTTCATCTCAATCTTTCTTTCTTTAATGCAGGGTTATAGTTCCAAAGAAAGGAAAGGGACTCTTTTTGATGATTGGGATCTTTCTGAAAGTGGATGGAATGAAATGTCCGAGGTATATCTCTTGTTTGCTACTTTACGTGTATAAATTACCGGAATGTGTAACCTATAAAATAGAAGTTAATCTGTATCAAAGAAAACAGGAATTTGACTCAACAATTTGGTCTTTTTATTTTTTACATGTGCATTGTACCAATCTTAATTGCTTAAATAGCTTTCCTTACCAGCTTGATCCTCAGTGTGTATGTGGTTTATGGAATTTTATCAGACTCGTTCTTAATCCTTTGCTTCCTTATTTCATATGTCGCTATCTTTTGCCTCTCTCTCTATGTATGTGTGTGTGTGTGGGAACGAATTTAGTTACTGAGATAACACATCCTCCATCAAGATGTCAGATTGTCCAATTTTTAACTGAAAATTTCAATGCGTGTTAAGTATCTATTAGCAGCACTTGCTGATTTTCTTCACTTAAATGTTAGGAAGAATTTAGTGTCCTATGTCCCTACGTATTCATTGAGAGCGGCATTGATTTATCTGTTGAGGCTGCAGGGTCATGGAGGTAGTGTTGCTGATAGAATCATGTTTCTGACTAGTGAATAGTGATGTTAAGTTTTACATTTTAATTCTTGATATCATGGACCGTAAATACAGGAAATGTTTTGCAAGTGAAATGATTCAATTTTCACAGTGAGTTATCATTTATTAATTCAAATCCTATTGTGGAACAGAACACAGAACACAAACAAGTTTCCTCAGATCAAGACCAAAGCTCAATGCTGAAGGTGATATGCAATCAGCGTGATCGGTTTAGGGCACGATTGCGGGAAACTGAAGAAGTATGGTGTTTATCTTTCTGCACGTTGTTGCATTTTCTTCATTTTTTATTCCATGGAATTTTTATTTCATGCTTGTTTTGGTCTCTGTAAAATAACGTTTCTGAATGTTCCATGTCTTATAGGAAATAAGGCAGTTAAAGGAGAAGATAGGGGAGCTAACAACAGAACTGGAGAAAACAAAAGCTGATAATGTTAAACTTTATGGAAAGATTCGCTATGTTCAGGACTATAACCAGGAGAAAGTAATTTCTAGAGGATCAAAGAAGGTATTTGTCGTTTTTAATACATATCATAATTCTCATCAAGTGTCTATAGTATCTTGAACCCAAGCTCTTGTTGATTTTTCAGTACGCAGAGGATCTTGAAGGTGGCTTCAGCTCAGATGTTGAATCCAAGTACAAGAAGATATATGAGGATGATATTAATCCCTTCGTGGCTTTCTCAAAAAAGGTTGAGCCCCATTCATGAATATATAACTCTGTTCGATTTGCAAATATCTAGTGATCTAGTTTGATTTTTGAACTTAGGCCTGCAGAGCTCCTTTTTCTTCTTTCATTAGAAATTCACAATATTTTAGAAGAGAAGATTCAGTGGGTGTTTGGCAAGCTTCTTGTTTGTATTTACACGATTTCCATGAACTTAAATTTTCTTGATCACATATCCTCAACTTCAAGTTCATACTGTGTTCCATCATACATGCTATTAATGATCAGATGGCTCTAGTTTCTTTGAAACAATGCTCAAGTATTTGTTCCCTGTGTAAATTTCAGGTTAGATTCAAGATAAGATGTTTATATGAACCCTTCTAGATTGCTATGGGAATTATGTTTATCAGGCAAATATACTGTTCAAGAACGTCCTTATAAAGCTTATTTTAGTTGGGAACAAAGTTGAACATCCAAGACACACATACTGTTCTCTACCACCCAATCCTAGGAAACATGAGAATATCAAAATAATCCAGTTAGCATTTACATCCAGGGAATCTTTGAATTCTGATTATATTTCTATTATGCTGTGTTTTATGTAATGATCGTTTTTGTTTATCACGTAGGAGAGGGATCAAAGATATAAGGAGTTGGGCTTTAGAGACAGAATCACGCTCAGCAGCGGACGTTTTCTTCTAGGAAATAAGTATGGTTTTGTCTCATCTTCTAATTGCACACACAACATATCAGAATGATCTCTGGTTCCCTTTATTGTATGTTCCATTGAGAGTGTATGCACATATATAAAGGTGGTCATCAAGCTTGTAGATTTGGGGTGTCTAGCATTCTGATCGAGGCTTGGTTTAGGCTAAATCTTCTTTCCACTTCATATTTTGTTTTTTGGTTTGTATGACAATAGTGGGCCGGTCAACTTTGGTTTCATGTTGGTTGGGTGTGTTGCAGTAGGTTCAACTTTTTTCACGTTTTGTTTTGCAAGCCATATAGTAATTGGACTTGGGGTTTGGGTCATTTCAGGCAGGATGATTTTGTAAGGGTCATTGACTTTATTCGAAACTTTTGTACAGGTTAAATTTGGTGAACATGCTAAATCTGTTTCATAGATAACTACACATAATAGCACTGATTTATTGGCCAGCAGTTATATCAATGCAGTCATTGTCGTATAAGGGGGTCTGAATCGATTCCCTGTGCCACGTATGTGGATGTATTCATACTTATTGGTCAGTTTGTTGATTTGCTAATGAAATGCCGCCTTTACAATTTCAGGTGTGCTCGAACATTTGCATTTTTCTACACAATTGGTTTGCATATCCTGGTCTTCACTTGCCTATACCGAATGTCGGCTCTCAGCTACCTCAGGTGATAATGTGGCCTAATCTTTATGATAACTCTGCCCTGGTTCCCTTCGAAGTTATGTGACATTAGATATGTTTTTGGTAAATGCAGCCATGGCTCTGAGGAACCCCTCGTGGTTGAAAAAAACCTGAACCTCCCGCGTGGACATTAGTGTGGTGTGGTCTACTACTACCCTTGCCAATTACTTCATTTATACTTTGATATTGTGAGAACAATATGGCATTGGAATTAAATTTACAAACTTGAATAAACTTTACATGTGTAACACAGGGATGTTATGTTCAAATAGTTGATAGTCTTCGTCCACTGTTTCTTTATTTGTGCTCAACTTGAGTTTTTTATATTCTGCTATTTCACAAGATTAATTACATATTATAAAAGTGAAAAATGTCCCCACCAGCCACAAAATGTTACTTGAGTTTTTATATTCTCTTTTTATAACATTGAAAGAAATACATATTATACAGTTATAAAAATAAGAAGTATCTTATTAAAACATATAAAAATCACTTAAAATGCTAATTTTATAACATTTTTTTTATAATATTACTAAATTTTAGAACTTCTATAATACTACTGGATAATTTATTTTTAGCCCTTGACATTGTTCACCTTCTTTTGGATAATTTATATCTTTATATATCTAAAGAAAGTAATAGGCGATAAATTATAAAAAAAACGCTACTAAAATTATGATGTTTAAAGCCTAAAAACTTGATAGAAAATATAAGAGTTTATTGTTAAATTATTGGGCTTGTCATATTCGATATATAAATGTTTGATGTGCCCTCAAGTGAAGAGAAATGACTAAATTGTGCTTATGGTTTAAAATGACTAGAATACCATTGTGGGTTAAAATGATTAGAAGACCCTAGGAAAATGAAATATTTGATTTGTCTTTAAATGGGAAAGTGATTAAATATTGTTCATTGTGAAATATTTGAATTTCCTTTAAATGGGATTCCATGGTTATCAGTATCCGGAACATACTTATCATTGATATCATTCGTGTGAGAGGAATAACTTGCAATTCTGCCCTCAAGACTACACACTGAATCGTCAAGCATGTTGAATCTACTTTAATAATCAAAGAATATGACACACGAATGATATCAATGATGAGTACATTCCGAATACTGATCTTAGAGGTATGTATTCACGGTCACTTTATAAAAACTAATCAATTGGTTTTAAGATTGACTGAGCCTAAACTATGATACTAATAATATAAAACCTCCGATTAGGGGTGTAAACGAGCCGAGTCGAGCTCGAGTATTGCCGAGCTCGACTCGAACTCGAAAACTTTAAATGTAGGCTCGACTCGACTCGAAAACTCGCGAGCCTAAAATTTTCAAGCTCGACTCGAACTCGAAAGATAATATTAAAACTTGACTCGAACTCGAAAAGGCTCGAACTAAAAAAAATTCAAGAGCTCGATTGAAGTTCGAGACTCTAGCTCGATTGAAGCTCGATTTTGAGCTCGATTCAAGCTCGAACTCGAACCTACAAAAATCTTATATAACATTTAAAATATATAAATAATTTTTCCCTTTAATCAACCATCACCAATACATTATAATATGAATGTATGAAATATAAAAAATATAAAAAAAAATACAATTACAAGAGGAAGCCCGAGACAGTGTGCCACCCACGTGAACCCACCGAGGAAAACCCATGCTGGTCGGCCATCCACCGAAACCAATGCATCCACCAAGAGCAAACAACTGTGCCAACTGTGCCCATATTACAAATTAACTAATGATTATCATGCTGTCAATGCACGCATAACAGCAAATATAGAAAGTGACTTTTGAGAGGATTGAGAAAGAATAGTTGCGTTAACAAAAACTGCACAAACCTGTTGCAATGTCAATTTTTTTACAAATAATATCCCTGCCAACTCGGATTCTACGCGTAGATATAGCTTGCATTAGTTCATCTGGAGCAAAACCCATCAACCTGGTAGCACTGGTTAAAGCTGCAACAAGGAATAAGATCTCACATAAATAAGCATCTTATAAAGACAACATAATAACAACAAGCACTTACATGAAAAACAAATGCTAACTAAAGATTTAACTTAAAACAGATTCAACAAAACAAGTTATTTTAGCAGGCATAAGACAAATGATGATGATAAAAATCATGGATGATGAGGTCTTCAGAGCACACATACCTTCATCGGCAGATGCCTCCACATGATTTTCTTTGTCAATTACTTGAAATGATATATTTCCCAACCATAAAACTGCAGCAAGCATTGCAAATGCTTGCTCTTGCTCTTCTTTACAAATTTGAACAATGTTCATGGCTTCCTGCAGAAATGCAGAAAATATTGCTTAAAGGCCAATGAGACAAATTAAGCGGTTAAAAAAATTGCTACACTATTGATGGTACATTAAATATAGTCTTTTTGAATTTACCGTAAGCTTTTGGAATTTCTGAGCATCATTAACACCATTAATCACCAAGCACTCACTCTGGCCTAGATAGTTGTACTCATTAGCTGTTTTAAGATTCAATCTCTCTGCAAAGACACGATTCCAAGGATCATAAAAATGTTTCACAAATTCAATCCAATGAACAAAAGACCTGTGGCAAGAATAACTTTAGCAACCAAGAGCTTTAAATGATATGATACAATATAATAACCCAAGAGGCATTTGAATAAGGGTTCACAATCACACCATGAGGTGTTGGTTGAGCCGCAGAGGACCTTTCGCTTATCACACCACTTACCCCCGAAACTTGAAGCCTGGTTTTTGGAGTCCCATGTTCGATTTGACAGAAGAGAGTAAGCCTTAGCATCGCTTAGATCCACTTTACACCCTTCTACTTGACACCTTGGAGGCTAAGCCCCTTGCACCATTCCACTAGCCCTTCCCTTCCTACCCGACCCGGATAAGCTTGAAGACCCTTCACCGGACTTGGACGATGTCCCCATGATTGCAGTGGCGGATGTGGTGGCGGAAAAGGAGATATTTTTCCCGGTGTTGAAGTCGTTGAGTGACTCGGCGGAAGAGTTGGTGGCAGAACCGCCTGACTCAGTCAAAGAGCCTGAACCCATCTCCATGAGCTTTCCTAGTCCCCAACCATGGGGTTTTGCTTTTGTAGAAGTTTTTGATCTGGTTTACCCTATTGTATTAGGGTCTTCGTCGGAGAATAAGAGGACCATCATGTTGAGAGTGGCGCCGTGTGTGCGTGAGAGGGAGAGATGAGATTGAGAGAGCTGCCGAGAGAGGCTGTTGGAGAATAAAGGGGCTGTGCGGCTGTGTTTGGTATTTTGTGTGCGTGAGTTTAGTTTAGGTTTAGTTAAATTTAGGTTTCATATTAATTGTTTTGGTAAATTAATTTATAATCCCCCAAACTTGAGCACCATTTTGTAAATCCCTAATTTAATTCATGATTTGTATGTTGAATTTTACGTTTATTTAAATTTAGTCATTAGTTTAATATGTATATGCATGTTTAATAAATTTATAGTTTGGTATGTTATATTTTAATTTTTGTATTTCAATCACATTTGTTTAAATTTTCTTATTTGTTTTAAATGTTCAGGTGTCATTTATGTTATTTTTCATATTATTTTAGCTTAAACCGAATAGGATCAACTGCACATAAGACCCTATAGTTTATGCGTATTTTGTATTTAAGTCATTGGTTTAATTCCAATTTTGTATATTTATTTTAGTCTCTGTTTATGATTGTTTTCTTTAATTAGTTGTGTATATTTATTTTTCATGTTGATATGTTTATGTATAAGTATGCGAATGATTTATTTAGGAGTCACATAACATCTTTTCATAATTTGTATGTTACCTTCATGCGTATAACTTAAATCTAAACCCTAAACACTAACCTTAACACGTAAACCCTAAACCCTAAAATCTAAACCTTAAATCATATCACATAAACTCTAAACTCTAAACCCTAACACATAAACCCTAAAACCATAAACTATAAACCTTAAATCATATAACATAAACCCTAAACCCTAACCCCTAATACCTAAACCTAAACCCTAAACTATAAACCTTAAATCCTATCACAAAAACTCTAAACCATAAACTCTAAACTCTAAATCTTAAATCATATCACATAAACTCTAAACCCTAAACCTTATAACATAATTAGAAGGAATGAGATGACTTAGTGAAAGGAGAGAGAGTATACTTGTTTTGATATTTTTTAAATTATTAATATTTAAATTGAATCATATTTTTTATTATATTATATTTATTATCAAATAAAAAATTAGTTATGATGTAAGTACAATATAATATCTTGATATTAAATGCTCAAACCCTTGATATTTATGATATTTGAACTCGAAACCTCAAAATATAACAACATTTAAAAATTAGTTATTACAAATATTATCATTAGAAATATATTAAATATTTGTCATTAGATAAATAATTTTTTTATTAATTTAAAATAAATATAAGAAAATTTATTCAAAAATAATTTTTAACCATTTTCATTCAAGAATTTTTATTAATCAATAATGTATTTTTAATATATTTTTAATAATGTAATTTTAAAAAATCTAAAATTACAATATAACATTTTTTCGAGCTGCTCACGAGCTTTTCGAGTCGAGTATCGAGTAGCTCGTTTCGGCTCGTTAAGAACTCGAGTCGAGTTCGAGCTCGAGTCGAGTCCATTCGATCCGAGTATTTATCAAGCCAAGATCGAGTCGATCTCGAGTAGCTCGCGATCTGTCTCGTCTCATTTACAGCCCTACCTCCAATACAACATAAAGATAGGCCAAAGATACCACATTGGGTATTAAAGTTACCACTTAATTTGAAAACCTATTAAAAATTTGTTATCACAATTTCATATAAATAAGACCAAAATAATAATGTTTTTAAATTATTTATAAAAAAAAATTGGAGCTCTATAATAGTTTGATACAAACCTAAATATTCGAAATAATGAATACAAAGTTAAAGACTAAAATATAACCAAGGGTACTATGAATATATATTCCATCTAAAGTGATCAAATATTATACTATGATACGAGGTTGTTGAAATTCCTCTGATGGCGATGCTCCACAACATGATTTCTGATCAACTAACCTTTAAACAAAAATATCTAAACACTGAACTTTGCAATCCAACAACACACTTTTTACTCTACTATACTTTGTGCAATTTATAAACATACATGCTAGTAGTATAAACAAAGAGCAATGAATCTAGTCATATTTCATCAACAATAGGCATAACATGTTTAACACAATCATTTATAAGTCATACATTAAAATTCTCATGCACAATATAGTCCTCTAGGGTTAATTTTAGATTTATATCATTATCAATGGGTTATATGGTTTAACCTAATATTAAATAATAATCAAGAATAGTCAATAATCATTCATATTCATAAGGATAAACAACAATACTCATTCATATTCACCTAGCAGTCATGTATGCCATAATGATAATAACAAATGATATTGACATCTAGTCTTACTAAGCAATTAGGTAATAAATAGTAATGACAAATGGTGTCATATAAGTAATCAGGTATCGATAGCAGAGATGATACTCGGTCTCATTAAGCAATCAAATATTATTCCATCAAATATAGACATAAGAAATGGTTGCTTGGTCTAACTAAGAAATCAAGCTAAGTAAGCACAGATACTCGGATAATCTACCGCCCTACATGGTTACATACATGCATCAATGCCCATAGGCCATACATATCTAAAATTATCATTAAGGCCAAACAGTGTAGCTTACTACACGATCACCTCTATGCAAATGCAATATTGATATCTCATGAATGAGTATCAATACTCCACGAGCATTTTACCCAGATTTTTACTCTAATTTCATATGATATTGATGCCATAAGAACGACATCAATACTAAAACCCAGAAATATCTATTTCAAGCTTTCCTACTACTCCTCTAAACCCTTAGTTTAAGTGCTTTGACGAGTGTTTAATATTGCATATATTTATTGTTATTTTCTCCTTTTTTCGAATTTGATATTACTGATTTTTCTTTATTTTGGGTTTATTTTATACAGGAGCTTTATTGGATTAATTAGCCCAAATAGTAGCAGATTTTGATGGTTGAGTCAACATCTTCTAGAAGATGAGCGAATTATCTTGAATATTTAATTGAAATTTACCCGGCATAAGGTTATTCATAAGATGAACTATAATTCAACTAGAAGTACAAGACTTAAATATTTATTTTTATCTTTTTTGATAAACTTTTTAGATTTAGGATTTTTAGTTTGATTATTTTATTATTACTTTTTTATTAAGGATTTTTAGTTTAATTATTTTATTATTATTCTATTTAGGAATTAGTTATTTTATTAGAACTCTTGGTGGGATTTTTAGTTTGATTAGGAATTAGTCATTTTATTTACTTAGAACTTTCGGGTTATAAATACCCCTTAGGTTCAACCTTTGAACTCAGATTGGAATTTATATTTCACTGGCTATTTATTGAAATTCTACTTTTATTTCACCTTTTTACTTTTCTTTCATTGTTTTCTTTTCACAATGCTAAGCATGATCCAATCCATGCTTGGCTAAACTCCAATTAGCCAAAAGTTGAGCAACAAATCAATCCGTTTCATGAGAATTGAAAAGCTCTTCATACCTTCATGTATCTTTCTTGATTTTCTGCAAACTAGGATTGACGATCTGGCTTTCCTATAAAAATCTCAACACTTTCAATTCAAAGATTACACCTTGTCTTGAATGTTGTTTTAATTTACTATTGGGAAGAAAAATCAACTTGTAGCAAATTCAACTTCCTAAGAACAAAATTAACGACGGTTCGCTAAGGGAAATCAAGATCAAGTTCGACTCTTATTGAGACATTATAATCTGAGCACATGCTTTTCCAGCACTTAAAGTAGTGATGGTGTTAACATCGCTAGTCGTTGTTAATCCAAACAAGAATTAAATTTCAAGGATTAACTTTGGAAATTAATTCAAAGGAGAGAAGAACAAGTTACAAGGGTTGGGCCTTATAGACTATAACTGACAAGAATCCCAAAGTAAAATCTATTTCAGCGATAGAAACAAATTGAGGCGATTCGTTGGAGGCTATCTCTCATCATAATTATTTTCAATCATCTAATTTTCTTATTTTTCTTATTTTTATTAATTTCAATTTATTCAATTTATTTTGCTAAACCCCCTTTATTTTACTTTTATAGTTTTCTTGGACCAAGATCAATTCAAACCGATATTGGAAATTTCTTAGTCCCTACAGGTTGACCATTTCTTCTCTATACTACATTCTTAGTTTATTTATTTGACATTTTCGATGCTTGTCAAATTGGCGTCGTTGTCGGGGACTTCGGTAAATTACTGACATTGTTTGTTTTGATTTATGATCAAGAAGAATCTAGGCAAACTAGTTGATTTTGAACCCGAGATCGAAGAAGTAGCCCTAAGAGTACACATATGCATAGGGAAAGTAAACAACAACAAGATAGTAAACTGATCCCTATGGTTGATCAAACAATCTGACAATTAGCTGTGGCACCTGTCGATCAACAACCATTATGCATCACATCCTCAAATAGAGAAACACCATTCAAACTCAAGATCGATTTGATTTATCTTCTACCTACTTTCCATGGATTATCGAGTGAAAATCCTCACAAAGACCTTACTGAATTTCATATGGTTTGCTATCGTATGAAACCATAGAGAGTATCCGAGGATCAAATTAATCTTTGTGTTTTTCCTTTTTCCTTGGCCTATTTGGCTAAGGATTGGTTATTTTACTTACCGCCTAATTGTGTTACTACTTGGGTTGATATGACTCGTCTTTTTATTGACAGGTTCTTCCCTGCTGCGAATGTGAGTGAATTAAGGCGAAACATCTTAGGGAATCCAACAAAAAGATTGAGAGTCGTTATACGATTATTGGGAAAGATTCAAGAAACTCAGTGCTAGCTGTCCACAACACGAGTTAACCGAACAGACTATCTTCCAATACTTTTATGAAGACTTGCTTTATTTGAAGATGAAGATAATTGAAGCAACTAGTATAGGAGCACTTGTGAATATG